AGCTGGTATCCGCTTCAGCTGAGTTGCCAGTGATATTTCTTTAACCCGAAGGCAAACGTTTCAAGTGAAACCGGATATAGTGTGATGGGTCACATTTATAAAGCAATTCCAGTAACCTATGTATTTCCAGAGCGTATTCTCGATTATGTATCAAAATACCGTAAATCAAAATTAATGAATCTGGGAAATACCCTAGTTAGAATTCGCATTCAGATTCCGACCATTCCTTTCCTATATTACTTCCAGGTATTTCATGGCTAAGAACTTACTCAATTGATAATCGAATAAGCTCAGTTTTGCGACACAACTTAGATAATAGGTGAAAATGGATGAAAATCAGGATCAACACATTTTAAGACATAAAGGAAAGCCTAAAATGTAGCATCTCTTATACTTGACACTTTCGATTTATACGCGGCGTTGAAACAGCTGTGTGTTTACGTGCGCACTTGTGTCCATGACCTTCACACGTTACCCCCCTCTCTCTCTCTCTCTCTCTCTCTCTCTCTCTCTCTCTCTCTCTCTCTCTCTCTCTCTCTCTCTCTCTCTCTCTCTCTCTCTCTCTCTCTCATTCTTTCTCTCTCTCTCTCTCTCTCTCTCTCTCTCTCTCTCTCTCTCTCTCTCTCTCTCTCTCTCTCTCTCTATATATATATATATATATATATATATATATATATATATATATATATATATGTATGTATGTATGTATATCCCTTTCTCTCTCTATCCACTGCTCTCCCCCCCCCCCCCTCTCTCCCTCCTTCTCTCTCTCTCTCTCTCTCTCTCTCTCTCTCTCTCTCTCTCTCTCTCTCTCTCTCTCTCTCTCTCTCTCTCTCTCTCTCTCTCTCTCCCTCTCTCTCTTCATAATATATATATATATTCACATATATATATGTTTGTGTGTGTGTGTGTATCCCTTTCTCTCTCTATCCACTGTTCTCTCCCCCCTCTCTCCTTCTCTCTCTCTCTCTCTCTCTCTCTCTCTCTCTCTCTCTCTCTCTCTCTCTCTCTCTCTCTCTCTCTCTCTCTCTTCCTCTATTTCTCTCTCTTTCTCTTTATATGCATATCCCTTTCTCTCTCTCTATCCATTGTTCATAAACATACCATACAACCTTTAAAATACCATTATGTATAATATAAATATTCTAGAATATTAACTTATGTTTACATTAACTTATTATGCTTAAAGGAAACCAAGAAAAAAAAAACTCCAGTTTGATTTAATTAAGACTTATTTAATGAGATGCATAAGTTTTCGTCTTGATAAGGTGTTATTGAGTGATTCGATTTTATGTCTACGTCATTCATGGTTTTATCAATTTGTTTTTATTCTATGATCACATTAAAATAATTAATAATAATATAACATAATGTTCTTTAATTTTAGCTATGATGAACGTACGAAACTGACAAAGAAATTTTCTCTTCACTTTAATTAAATCCTAACGAGACGGGATCAAGACAGTCATCCCTAAAATCTTTCCATTTTCTACAAGCTGATTTTTCAACAATATCTCCAATTGACTTAAATTCAGAGACGTTATTCCAGCTTTTTTGGAGAAGAATAATCATTAACTGGCTCCCCAGCCACATTGGCATTAGAGGGAATGAGCTTGCTGACAGACTAGCTGACAATGGCAGGGGTATGTCTCCAAATCCCATGATCATACAAGCTGAAAAATCCTAAAGAAGTGTACTGCGGCCGCTCGTACCTTCCTCCTGCAGCTTCACAGAGAGGAAACGAGGTCCTTCCCCTCGGTCAGCTGGTACTCAGACGCCACAGGCTATGAACCATTGGCACTCTCTGGAGTAATCAACAGAGGTACCGATGTCATTCTTAACAGACTCAGACTAGGTTACCACTGTGCATGGCAGATCATAGAGACAATACACCGTGGAGAGGCGTTGCATTCATTGTGGCGAGCCGAACACCACTCTGGTACACTACTTAAAGAATTGTGAGCACACATAATTCCTGATTCCTGGCAATCCCGGTGTATTTCAGAGAGAGAGAGAGAGAGAGAGAGAGAGAGAGAGAGAGAGAGAGAGAGAGAGAGAGAGAGAGAGAGAGAGAGAGAGAGAGAGAGAGAAGGAGAGAGGGGGGAGAGAGCAGCGGATAGAGAGAGAAAGGGATACACACACACACACACACACACACACACACACACACACACACACACACACACACACACACACACACACACACACACACACACACACACACACGCATATATATATATATATATATATATATATATATATATATATATATATATATATATACATACATATTATATATATATATATATATATATATATATATATATATATATATATATATATATACATATATATATATATATATATATATATATATATATATATATATATATATATATATATATTATGAAGAGAGAGAGAGAGAGAGAGAGAGAGAGAGAGAGAGAGAGAGAGAGAGAGAGCGCTCACCCCCTCTTCTCCTTAACAAAGACATTACTTCCCTTGACTCGGACTTTTATCTTATCTTTTATCACCAAAGTTATACCTTCGGAACCCACACTATAAAAAAAAATAATAGTCACATAGGTTACTTATGATAAAACTTCAGCCTTAGAGGTAACTGAGAGAAGGGAATATCAAAACACTTAATGAGCTTACATTTCCTGATATGTTGAATCATAAATCATTGCATTAAAAAGAAAAAAAAATCTACAAAAGTGCGTGTAGTCCAACATACCACTCTTTTCACTTGTTCTTCTTTCGTCTTTCGTCTTTGCAATCACTTTTCTCAGATATCTTCTTATCTTCCCTTCATCAGTTCAAAGGATTCTTAAAGATGATATCTTCTTTAATTCTTGTGCCCTAGCACCAAGGATCAGAAATCCAAGCAACAAAATAATAAACCCAAAATAAAAATAAGTTATTAGGAAGGATAAAACGATATAAAGTTATCTAATATAACTAAATATTTTTTTGAAGGAACAAAATATTTCCGACAAACAAGCCAACTGTGTATATTTATGCCATTATAGTTCTATGCACATGATAGTAATTTTGACTAAACCACAATTTTTAGTATTATTTTATTATAAATGTCAAGAACAATTACTCTTTGCATGAATTTAAATTCTCAATAATAATAAGAGATACACTTCTGGATGGTGCCCAAGTGCCACGTGCCAGCCACTTGCTGTGAAGACAACCAACATAAAAAAAAAAAACTTTCTGTGCATGACAACAACACAGTAAAACGAAAAAAAAGTATATGGAGTGGTTGCCTTGACAAAATCTAAAACACTTTTCATCTATGGCAAAATGGAGATGACGGGGGCGCCTGTAGGCTGTCATTAGCCGATTTTAAGCTTTCTGTGTGGTTGTTTTATACGTTTCTGTTCTATATTCTTCTTATTTCAGCCTGTTTTACCCCATAATTTCCCTGATCTACTTCATGTCCTCCGTTGATAAGGCTATGGAGACTTATCAATTCACACCAAGACTGTCGGCTGGAAAAAAGCGAGTCTCATCACATGCGAACAAATTTGATGATATTAACATTGTCAAGGAAGACCCGGTATCCGCGTAGACTGCATGTACTGCAACGATTGCGTGGCACGTAACTCTTTGCTTTAGTTTACTTTGCTTTGTATTATTATTTGTTAACGCAATCAATCAATAAAATACCGTTGCTATTTGATGAACACTTAATAAAGCCTTTTGCATAAATTTGATACGGTCATCAGATAACTCTCGAAACACATTTACATGTTAGAAAGTTGCATTTGTCCAATCATGATTTAATGCATTTGTATTGTGCGTCAATCAAGCATAAAGTAATACCGGATTTAACCGCAGAATTGTATACCGTAATTGTATACGTAAAGCATGGCTCCTGCCCCGTAGAGTTTCAGCAAACCCGATTTAAAGTTATTTTAGTGTTTTTGTTCGGTTTCCTGTGTGTAAATCATGCAAATTCCTCTCCAAAATACTGTGCGAACACATTTACACATTTTATCAACTTTGACGTCCATTACTCAAACGAGTCGAATGCGACGAAAAATATCATCATAACATCGTTAAACCATGAATGAAGATTTCATTCCAAGAAATAATTGTTTCGAAAATCGGAGGCTGTTTGAAACCTGAAATTTACCCTTATTAATGCTATTATTACAGCTAAATGTTCTTTCTTACCTAAAATCTTTCGAGATAATCTAAACACTCTCAGACTGCCAAATGGCACTCAACCCTGTTCGCTCTCTCTCTCTCTCCAGTTATTGTTACGGTATCAGGGTTTAGCAATGTATATACTCCAAATTTTAACGTCTACTCAGATGACATGTAGTACAAGCATGTAGTTCTTCTTAATCCAGACGTGCATAATTCCAGAACTTAAATGACTCTCTCCGGTAACAAAAAGAATACATCTTGTTTTCTTCATTAAAATATCAATCATACAACCTTAATCTAACAAGTATTAGTGAAATATAACAGTGTGCCCTCCAAACAAAGAAAATGTATTGTGGGGGTAGCAATGAAAACTTATTCTCATACTTTAACTATTATATTTTACAATGTTTCCCAATCTTAGTGAAATGAGATATACATATATAGGACTTTATATTAAAATAATAAAATAAAGTATAATCGTTCTGGAAAAATAATTAAGTGCTACTATCTTACATAGCTAAAGACCAATTAAAGTTATACATAAGAGGTAACATATGCATAAAGAGGTACACAAAGGGTAGTTCAAAGACGAACTTCACAGCCCATGTGCTTATTAGAGAGAGAGAGAGAGAGAGAGAGAGAGAGAGAGAGAGAGAGAGAGAGAGAGAGAGAGAGAGAGAGAGAGAGAGAGAGAGAGAGAGAGAGAGAGAGGGGGGGGGGGTAATGATAGGTGGGTTTGATCCAGGGGAATTCCCCATCCCAGGAGACACACAAACAGAAGTAACCAATGATGAACAAAACAAGGAATTGGTTGAGGAAATAAGCTTCAGTCA